GGGATTCGAACCCGCCACCTTAGGTGTATGTGGCTGGCGCCTTAGCTGCTTGAGCCACAGGCGCCGAGCCAAGCCATCCTTTCAACTGATCAGCTTTTACCCTGCCAGTCTTACAAGGCCACCACACCACTTCCCCTGCAGTCCTCCCTCCACTATTGATGCATAGTTTTGACTCTCCTTTGAGTAAAAATCTTTTTAAAAATGTCTCATGCTGGCGTGGTACCTGTAGCACAGTGGTTATGGCGCCAGCCACATACACCGAGGGTGGTGGGTTCAAACCCAGCCCAGGCCAGGTAACAACTGCAACAACAACAAAAAAATAGCTGGGTGTTGTGGTGGGCGCCTGTAGTCCCAGCTACTTGAGAGGCTGAGGCAAGAGAATTGCTTGAGCCCAAGAGTTGGAGGTTACTGTGAGCTGTGATGCTATAGCACTCTATGGAGGGCAACATAGTAAGATGGTCTATTAAAAAAAAAAGTCTCATGCTATTCAGCTATACTACTATTTATGCCTCCATCTTTTTTTTCTTTTTTTTTTTCCTTTCCTTTTGACTCAGAATCTCACTTTGTTGTCCTGGTGGGGTGGAGTGCTATGGCATCATAGCTCACAGCATCTCAAATTCTGGGGCTCAAGTGATTCTTTTGCCTCAGTCTGTCAAGTAGCTGGTACTACAGGTGGCTGTCACAACACCCAGCTATTTTTAGAGGTGAGGTCTCACTCTTGCTCAGGCTGGTCTTGAACCCCTGAGCCCAAGCAATCCACCCACCTCAGCCTCCCAGAGTGCTAGGATTATAGGCATGAGCCACGGTGGCTGGCCAACATACCATTTTTCTATTACCTAACTAATCGTATGGTTCTCCCCACATTCACCAAAGATTTTAGCACCAGGTGTTCCTTCCTTTTCTACCTCTAAATTCCAACATCTGATTCCCAGGTTTCTTGTGTTTACTTCAGTCACTCTATTCCATGGCTCCACCCTGGACTTCATCATCTCCTAGTCACTAGTGCTATTTCACTGTGAACTTCAGCTTGCCACTTTGACCACAGCACTCTTGCAACCATTGTTTACACGGCACTGGTCTTCAAACAAACCTGTAGTTTCATGACTCCTACATTAGCCCTTGCACTGTAGGGTCAGTCTGCATCCCATGTTTTTTTTGTTTGATTGTTTTGTTTTGAGGCAGAGACTCACTCTGTTGCACTGTGTAGACCCCAGCGACCTCAAGCCTCAAGAGAACCTTTGGCCTTGGCCTCCCTTGTAGCTTGAACTACAGGCGCTCACCACAAACCCTGGCTAGTTTTTCTATTCTTAGTAGATACAGGGTCTCACACTCCTCAGCTCAGGCAATACCACCAACCTCAGCCTCCCATAGTGCTAAGATTACAGGCATGAACCACATTGTCCATCCTACATCCCATGCTTGATGACCCGAGGTTTTAACACTGTTGTTTTCTTTTTGGTGATAAAATCCCAAGCCCTGGACAAATGCTACAATTCAAATTCTTTGCTTCTGCAGCCAGGTGGCTGAGTTCTAGAAAGAAGTGACCCATCAACATACACATATATGTGACGCTTGAAGCCAGGTTGTCCAACCTCAAGATTCCTCTTCCAAATTTTCTTCACTCTTCTTTAGTCTCTCCTTGTCTAAAAACCTCATCCATAGGTTTGATCCATTGTTTGATCATCAAACAATCTGATACCTCTTCCCATTATATATCTATCTTGTTACCCAATATTAGAATAACAGGTGACCTGTCTTTGGTCTAAATTTAATCCCTTCTTCTGAATTTCGTATCGCACGCACCTCCTCAGGGACCTTGAACCATCAATACCTGTTCCCTTCCCACTGGCTCCTTTCTCTAGGCCTCTCACATCTTTACAAATCTCAAGATCAACAAAATCCCGTTCCCAATCTTGTCACAACCAAGCTTTTCCAAAGAGTAGTCTGCATTAGCGGTATCACCCTTTTCCGTGCCCTGCCAAGTGCGTGTAATATAACTGTGCTCAGTCAGTGCTTAATAAATCCTGAGCCTTGAAGCTGCCAGGTGAAAAAAAATCCGGTTCCCCTCTTTGCCCTGGAGTCTTGCCGCCCCCTCCACTTTCATTCACCCTTTTCCTACCCTTGACTCCTCCCTTTGCCGCTCCTCCCATAACTCTCGCGAGATTTCATGCCTCTCTCCGCGTGGTCCCAGCAAAGTAGCGTACTTATCGCGAGACTGCAGACAGGGCCGGGCCAGACATGGCGGAAGGTAGGGTTTTTGTGGAGCCGCGCGGGAAGGCGCGGAGCTCTGGGGGCGCTGCTGGCAGGGAGAAGCAACCCTGGGAGGGGACGGCCGGGCGTTGTCGCCTGGGGCCCAGCATGTCTCGCGAGCCTTCCTTTCCAGCCTCTGGGCTCCAGGGTCCGGGGTCTGGAGCGCTGTTCCTATGGCAACGCCCCTCCCGCGTCTTGGACCCCACGGGACCAAAGCGGGCTCTGGAGGTGGGTTGGGAGGTCCCTTGCCGGGGCTGAGTGCAGTCTCTGGACCCCAGAGGGCGGCAGGGGAGAGTCTTTTGGTTACTAACGGTGTCGAGACCGTGAGGGAAGTAACGCTGTTCTTAGGAAATCGAAACTGCTGTCCTGGCATGTCCTGCATCCGGAAGGGGTACATCCCTTGCCTGCAGAAGAGCTTGGGACTCTTTTCGGGGTGAAGGGTGGAGGAGATCCAGCGGTGCAATTGGCCCACGCTCCAAATGGGTGCGCACTATAGACTTTGGGCTTCTTAGCAGTCCCAGCATTCGGGCTGGCTGACATTATTTCCCCTGGTTTACATATGAGGATGGGAGGAAAGGTTTTACGTGGTTAAGGGGGTTAGCCAAGGCATACTGCTGAGAGAAGGGCTAAAACCAGACTTCTACCCCTTTGCCTCCCAGCCCAGTTTTAACCCCTTTTTCAAGCGCTTTTCTAGCGCTTTCTTTATGACGTGCAGGTAAAGGCAATTTGAGTTTTCAGGATTTGCCTCCTTAACGTAGGAGTATTAGAATCCTTCATTGTCAAAGCCTTATTGTACAGGTGTGGGAAAGAAGGCCCAGAGATGGGAAGTTATCGTCAGGGATCGTACACTGACACTGTTGGACCTGATCAATGTGCTTCTCTACTCCATTATTGGAGAAAAATGCTCCTTGTTTGGCTTTTGTTTATTGAGTGACTGCAGTGTGCTTGGTCACGAAATCTTACTTTTGAGCTAAGCTTTGACTGAACCTATCATTTATTAAATCTTAGATTTGGGCAGCACGTGACAGTTTGTAGGCATTTCTCATTTGGATTAGACTTCAGAATGACCTGGTGAAGTAGCCCTGGAGTGTATGGTTTGCTCTTTATAGATAAAGGAATTAAGGCCAAGGTTATAGAGATAGCTGTAACTGGCGGCCGGTTTTTGCCTTTGTCTTTTCTACCATGCACCTAGAACAGCATTTCTCAACCTGTGGGTCGCGACCCCTTTGTGGGGGGGTCGAACTGCCCTTTCACAGAGGGTCGCCTAAATACATCCTGCATATCAGATATTTACATTACGATTCATAACAGTAGCAACTAAAATAATTTTATGGTCGTGGGTCACCACAACATGAGGAACTATATTAAAGGGTCTCTGCATTAGGAAGGTTGAGAACCACTGGCCTAGAAGGTGAATATTGTCTGAAAGCAGAGGAGGAAGAAAATGGACAGAAAGAAAGCTAAGGCATTCCCTGAAGCTTTTTTTGGGGGGGGTGGTAGATCACTGAACATTGTTTTACACAGTGGGCAGCTAAGGGAAATGGAGCTATTGCTCAGAGCACTGAGATTCAGGAAGGATTTATGTGAAGTAATGGGTAGTCCATCACTTTTACACTAGGAAGGGAAGTTGAGGGGTGTTTTGGGAATACATTACCAAGGGTGAAATTGTGGAGGGCAGCTGGTCTTTCATTTTGCAGCTAGGATCTAGCCATGAAGAGCTTATTAGAGGCCGAGGTCGGTATGTTGATCTTTATCTTGCAAATTCCTTGAGATGTGTGTTAGGGTAGTCTTGAGAGACTTTCTTTTTTACCGGGGCTGGGTTTGAACCCACCACCTCCGGCATTATGGGGCTGGTGCCTTACTCCTTTGAGCCACAGGCACTGCCTTTAAGAGACATCTTGCCAGTGGGGCACATTACACAAACAATAGTCTTCTAGGGTTAAATTGGCCTTGGGATTGGAGGGGGAGGGGCAACCAGGCATGGTGGTTCAGGCCTGTAATTCTAGTACTCTGGATCCTGAGGTGGGAGGGTAGCTTGAGGTCTCGAGTTGGAGACCAGCATGAGCAAAGAGAGACTAGCTCTGCTAAGAATAGGAAAAATTAGCCAGGCATGGTATCATGTGCTTTAGTCTCAACTGCTCAGAAGACTGAGGCCAGAGGATTGCTTGAGCCTAGGAGTTGCGAGCTAGACTGAGGCCAGGGCAACAAAGTAGGACTCTGTCTCAAAAAAAAAAAAAAATTGGCCGGGTGAGGAGGATAGATAAATAAGAACATTGCTGAAGTTCTGAACTGAGTTTTTCTTTTACCTTTTTTGTGTTCCAGTTTCCTGGCCTATGTTTGGATTTAAGCTTTTTAGAAACAATGTTATAAACTTTGAATGGAAGAATCCATCCAGGTATTCTGGACCAGTTAGCTCATTAAATTGAAGGTGCTTGCTATGCAAAAGAAGGCAAGATTAGCTAGAAAATGTTTTGTGGGCTGTTAATGGTTTTTTGTTTTTGTTTTTGTTTTTGTTTTTTTTTGAGATGGAGCCTCAAGCTATCCCCCTGGGTAGAGTGCCATGGCATCACGCTTACAGCAACCTCCAACTCCTGGGCTCAAGCGAGTCTCCTGCCTCAGCCTCCCAAGTAGCTGGGACCACAGGCACCCGC